GGAGGAAAAAACTGAAATCTCAGTTTTGGCGCGAAGTGATCAAGGCCTGGGGCAGCCTGCAACCGGAAGGACGTACACAACCAGAGACAAAAGAAGAGGTGCAAGCTCAGCTGCTGTTTGAAAACCCCCATATCACGAAGGGTGATGGAGGTTGGTTCAAGGCAGATGGATCCACCGGCTCATTTGGGGCAGCGTGGACCCGGAAAGGAATTGTCACCATTGGTGACTTATGGGACCCTCTCTTGGGCACTTGGAAAGCGCTATCGACGTTGTCAGAGACGCTCCATCCGTTGAGGAACGTGGAATTACACTGGCAACAGTTGCTAGATGCCATCCCCGAAAGGTGGAACCGGCTGCTGGGCCCAGAGGGGATCGATCCGGTCGGCACATGGTACTGTACAACAGAAGGAGAGGCAGACGAAGTATGGAAAGTTCTCGAGATCCTCCCCAGTGGTTTCCGGCGGGTGGAGCATTGGTACTGCCAAAGACACACAAACGAACTGCTCCGGTTGGACGAGCAGGTCGTTAAGTCCTGGGGAAATCCCCCTCAAGCAAGAGTAGTGGGCCTGGTTGGTACTCCGGCGAGAAGGAAGAAATGGATCTGGGTAGGACGCACCCCGCTCCGGAAACTGTGTATTGACCCAAAGGCTTGAAGCTGGGCTATGGGAGGGGATAGGGACTCCCAGCTTCGGCTGACGGAGTCCACAATAGCCAAGGGCTACCACCTGAGACTACGCAGGGGATGCATTCGCTCTCCGACTGAAGTGGCAATCAATCGCTGGCAGACGATCACAACAGAAGATCTATCGAATGCGGGGTCGTCTTTCTTGGCCCTCTGGGAGACGTTGTCCAAGCTGTCAAACGGGAAGCAAGTATCCATCCTATGGATGATCTCCCTCCTAGTCACTCCCTCAGCGGCATGGTTAACGAGCATAGGAATGCAGGTTGAGTTGAAATGTCCACGCTGCTCATGGCCTTTTGAGTCTACACGCCATTTGTGGTGGGAGTGTCCTGCGTCCCGTCGTATCTGGAAATGGTGGAGTCAACACTGGGAACATTTTGGAGACACAAGAATAGGATGGGGCGAGCAGTGGGTATTGTTTGGTTTTCTCCCGGAGGGTTTGCACAAGAAACGAGGGTGGGGGTACGTGGCTCAGGTTGTGAGAGGTCTGTTATGTGAGATCATATGGAAGGATAGGAACAGGGCAAGGTTCGAAGGCAAACCCTTTTCAGATCCAGAGATCAAAGGGGCGGTCAGACAAGGGCTGAGGGAGGCGATCAAGGTAAATTGGAGGAAAAGAGCAAAAGCGAGGAAAGGGAGTCGGAGGCAGATTCGTTGGTTCTCGAATACGTGGACGATCCGCCACCAATTGGCTGGTGTGCATGTGATAAGCTCACCCCGTACCGCGCGGCTTCCCGTATCCCTGAGGAAAAATCCCTCGGAAGCCCCGAGGCACGCACGTGGATAAACAGGGGTTTTTTCTTTTTGTTTTTCGTTTTCTTTTCGAAACGTCTTTTTCATTTTGTTTGGTTAATAACTCCTGCACGAGCGAATAGCGGCTGCGGTATGAAAACCAAGAAACCGGGGCGGTTGGGACTTTTTGAATTTTTGCGCGCGCACGCCTAAGCTCCGATTTCTTCGCGCGTCTCGCATCCCCGTTTCTTGCTTTGCATCCCCGCGCCATCTTCCCTTCTTGCTGTGCGCATTTTCCCTATGCCGGACTCTTCGTCTTCCCCTCCGCCCAGCTCGATCCTTACCCCGCGAAGTGATTGGCCGCGTAGTTGGGATGCGCGGATCAATGTGGAGAGCGGGAAACCGCGCGCCACTTGAACGGACACCCCAATCACGTAGGACCATGCCATCCCGCGGGTCGAACCCTCTAACTCCCCACCCTCCTCCTGTCCTGCTCATCTACAGCCTGCGGTGCCCGCACCTCGCGCTGACAACCCGGCGCCTCCCTCGCTATAAATTCGCGCAACCCTCTCCTCTCCTCCTCTTTGATCTCGGCTGCAATGCTGCGTGAGCTATGCGCGAGAGTCCGCGGCGCCGAACAGGCTCGATGAGCCCAAGGACGGGCGGAGTGACGACGTGGGGTGGACCCGCGGTAGTCTCGGGGCGAAGCAGTCGGAGGGACTGAGCAGTGGTGGGGATTGGACGCCGGCCGCGGCAGGGCCTTGTGGCTATGGTGGTCGGTGGTCTTGGGGAGTTTTGAAGGCTGCGCCTGGGGGCGGCAGTTAATTGAAATTTTTGTGTACAAGAAGGACTCGCNATGTGGAGAGCGGGAAACCGCGCGCCACTTGAACGGACACCCCAATCACGTAGGACCATGCCATCCCGCGGGTCGAACCCTCTAACTCCCCACCCCCCTCCTGTCCTGCTCATCTACAGCCTGCGGTGCCCCCACCTCGCGCTGACAACCCGGCGCCTCCCGCGCTATAAATTCGTGCAACCCTCTCCTCTCCTCCTCTTTGATCTCGGCTGCAATGCTGCGCGAGCTATGCGCGAGAGTCCGCAGCGCCGAACAGGCTCGACGAGCCCAAGGACAGGCGGAGTGACGACGTGGGGTGGACCCGCGGTAGTCTCGAGGCGAAGCAGTCGGAGGGACTGAGCAGTGGTGGGGATTGGACGTCGGCCGCGGCAGGGCCTTGTGGCTATGGTAGTCGGTGGTCTTGGGGAGTTTTGAAGGCTGCGCCTGGGGGCGGGAGTTAATTGAAATTTTTGTGTACAAGAAGGACTCGCTTTTATCTCCATTGCTGCTTTGTCTATGCATGTCGTGTGTGTGAAGCCCCGAGTGATGGGAGCTGGTGGTGCGCACGAGTGATGTCGAAGGTCCATGGATGATTAGATGTCCTGTCAAAGTTTGTTGATTGCATGCATGCATGTGTGTATGTACTCGTCCGGGCGGGGATGGGGAAACTGAACTGGGGGACCGTCTACTTAGGAGTACGAGTGTGTTGATCCAGTTGTTCCCCTCCCCTCAGTGGTCTTTCCTGCGCTCGTGTGCGGTATCGGCGTAACTCACTCTCTCTCTCTCTCCCTCTCCATTGCTTTCCTTTTTTGAACTGATAGTCATCGTTTTTTTTTTTAGCTTCTCGCCCCCGTACCGGTGACGTCAACCGCTTGCATCCGCGCGGACGGTCGACGCCCCCGCAAGGGGAGAGAGCTTAGACTTCGTCGTCTTCCCTCGACGCACCCACCTTAGAGAGAGAAGAGTTGCGACGATTGTTGTATGGATTCGGTGTTGGTTCGAATGACTGGGAACGCGGGATTTTGCCCGTGTTCATCACGTACCTCCGATCGTCTCATCACGCTACCGACCTTCCCCATCGCAGATGACGACAGCGTCTATTGCGATGCGGACATACGGCGCGAGCTGAGGCGGACGGAGCAAGTGTGTTGGCAAGACCTGCCTCGGGCTTGTGAGATAAGGGGGAACGGGTTTGTTTTGATTGATCGTTTTGATTCCCTGACTCTAATATTGCCTTATACGGGCTTGATGGTGTTGCCCTGGTCGGCCGCTCACGCCGTGTGGCGGCCGCAGTTTGATTGTCGCTGGTGTCGCCAGGGGGACTCGTGTTCTTGGCGACGGCTGGTCCTGGGTTACTAGGGAGCGACACGTTTCCCCGAGCTTTCCCGTAGTGCGGGGGCGCTGCCCGCGCAATTTCGAATTCAGATGCCAGCGAGTCCTCCCGCCGCTTTACCCTCTCGGAAACTTTCGCGCGGACTCTGTGAGTCCGACGCCAAGGCTTGAAGGCCTCGAACCAACCACCTCCACAGCAAAGACCCGAGGGTTCGACCACTTTGTGAGGCCGATGATGAGGCCTGAAGGCTTCGAACCCACCACCTATCCCCCAAACCCCTGACAGCCGAAGTTTTGTCCTCCGCCGCCATGGCCCTCTCCCCTTGATGCCTTTTTCTGTCCCGATGCATGACGACAGTTCATTTTTGCGGAAACCTTTTTTTGATTTTATCGTTTCCGCGTGATCCGACCCCCACGGGACTCCGCGACGACAGTTCGACTCCGGGGAAAACCTCTGGCACGAAACGAGGGCCTCCCGTTCCGTCCGGGAGACTCAACCCTTACGGCCAAAAATCCTCGGCCACGCTCCTCCTAGAACTCTGATCGGCGACCCCGAACGGGAAGCCGCGAGGGGGCGTGAGGTTGGTATCAGAGCTGATTCGTTTCGGCTCCGAGGTTTTCCAAGGACGATTACCCTGTTTTAAAGTTCTTCTTTTCCTTTTTGATCCTTTTATTAGATTTTTTGCATTTTTGAGTAGGCTGGCTCCCCGTCGACGGAGGCCCGCGAATAGCAATCAGAACCGAGCGAGAGGTGGGGCTCGAAACCCGCCTCCCGCGATGGTGGAACCCGGAATTGGGGGTGAAAACGACGGTGACAACCACGCGTGGATGGCCAATCATCCCCTGTACTTTGTACCTCCTCCTTCCGAAGTTCCCATTTTTTTCGAAGATGACACCGACCCTCGTACCTGGCTAGCGGCCTTGAAAGCCCAGGGTTGGTCCGATCAGTTGCTCCGAGAACGAACTCTCGGAAGGTTAGCCTGAAGGTTAGTGAAGGTTAGCCCTTCACTAATTGGGCAGCCTTCCAGAGGAAATTTCTTGATAGATTTAATCACATCGCACCGGGTCAATGCCTCCGTTTAATAAAGGAATACACGCAGCAGCCTCGGGAGACCTTGGCCAGATATGCTGAACGTTTTATGTACTTAGCCGAACGCCCCGGGGTGGACGAGAAAATGGTGCGGACTGATTTCGTCAGAGGACTGTCAGATTCTCGTCTACGGAAAAAGATCCGCAAGAAATGCAACCCTATAGAACATACCCTAACGCAGCTAATTCCGTACGCAATCAAGTAAGGGAAAGAAAATTACGATGTGGGCCTGGACTCAGAATCCGACGAAGATGACCCTTCGGGTGTTCGACGCAATAGCTACTCCGCTACGGCACAAATGTTCGAAGATCGCTTCGGGTTGGGTCCGGCAAAAAAAGGCGTGGATTGGAAAGCTTCTTCCTCTGGTTCGGCCTCCCGTCGCCCTAGTCAAGCACAAGGAGGCCGGGGTGAGGAAGAAGTGGCCATGAAAGAAGTCGCGGCACAATTAGTTACAGTAGTGGCCCCGTTGACGGAGTTTGTTCAGGGCCTGCAGCGGCAACGCCTAGCCGCTGCACAACGACAACAAGCGGCTATGGCCGCCGGAGCCCCTATGATTAAACCGGCCGTGGCCGTGGCTGTCCAGTCCCTATGCTATTATAACTGCAATCAGCCAGGTCACCTTGCGAAAGATTGCCCGAAACCTCGAGCTCAGGGTGGGTCCGCTGGGCCTTCCCAAATCCCGTTGGCTGCTCCAACCGCTGCAGCACAGGGGAGGGTTGCCATGGTGATGGATACCGGGGCAACGGAAATAGTGACCCCTGCGGCCACCGAGATAGGGCCCGATGAATATATGGCTGCGGCGATGTTCAAACCCGGGACCATCGGAGTGATACGTCACGTCCAACGAATTACCGAGGAAAGCGACCTCGGACCGTGGAGACCAGGGTTCGAAGACCTTCCGGCGCCTGGTCCTGAATACAAGGATGGCCATATCGACGTATTGGATGCCTTGAAGGCTCTGGATCTTCGGATCCCCGTCCCTATTCCCTATCTGCTAACCATTTTCGAAGCGGCTAAAGAAAAATTAATCGAACGATGCTTCAAAAACAGGCGCCGATTCGATGAAAGTCGAAAGGGCAAAAAGCCGGTCCTACGGGACCTACCCAAAAACGAGTAGTCGCAGCCCTCGACCTCAAAGGTGCACGAAGCCGACCGAATAGGAATGATCCAGACCGTAGACTCCGCCTCGGAAAAACCCGAGGTATTCCTCCGAGCCTATCCTATAACCTGGAAAAGCGTTGAGTGTGACTGCGAGGTCTGGGGAAATCCCTCGGCCGCCATCCTAGATTCGGGATCGTCAGCGGTCGCCATTTCTTGGAGGTTGACGAAACAGTTGGGAAGAAAGGGACAGGTTCAACCCCTCCGACCGGATGAGCTGTATATATCCGCTACGGAAGACAGTATTCATTGTAAGGCGCGAATAACGAACGTGCCTATACGGGTGGGGAGGGTGCACTGTTTGTGCGACGTGATCGTGTTGGATGTACAGGCGTATAATATTCTGCTAGGCATTTCGTGGCAGGGGGCGGTTGTAGCGCGAATGCATTTTCACAGTTGTAAGGTGGTGCTCACATCGGCCCACCCCAAACCCCAAACGATACCAATGAGAGTGGCGGTGCGCATGCGCACCCAGCCGGCGCCTCGACTCACCACGAAAGCCCATCAAATCAACATGATCCGACGCCTGTCACTAGGCGAAAATGAACCATCGACGGAAACTGACGAGGCTGATGCACCCGACCGATATCCGATCCGAGTTCAGGATCGGTGGCGCCATTCTTGGCGGCGAGAACCACTGGAAATAGTTCAGAGCGAGTCCAACCGGTCGCACGCGTTCTCCTCCGTGGTACAGGGGGAACCCTTGCTGAGGGTGTCCCGAATAACAGACCTTTCAGAACCCCCTGCGTCCTTATATCTCAGGACGGACCCCCTACGTGAAAGATTTACCGAGCTGACCGTACCGATATTCCCTTAAAGAAAGACAGCTGGCGTTGGAAAGGGTACGGGAATTTGAGCGGTTGGGGTGGGTCGAACCATCGCTGGGACCGTGGTCTTTTCCCGTGGTCCTCGTGCCAAAACGAAATGGTTCGGTCCGGTAATGTATCGACTACCGGAAATTGAACGCAATCACTACCAAAGATGTGTATCCCTTGCCGCGAATCGACGATTTGTTGGATGCTATCGGGGCGGCTCGAGTCTTTTCCAAGTTCGATATCCGACAAAGTTTTCATCATGTCGCAGTCCGACCGAAGGACCGACCCAAAACCACTTTTGTCCTATTTGAAGGTACGTGCCAATGGGTCCGGTGTCCCATGGAAATTTGTAACGCCCCTGCAACGTTTCAGCGAGCCCTAAATATGGCCTTCGCTGAGTTCGTTAACAAAACCCGACTGACCCAGCCCCTGATCAATTTCTGCGTGGTTGTGTACATGGATGATATTTTGGTCTTTTCAAAAACACACGAGTACCACGTGGAACACATTGAGTGGGTTTTGCATGCACTAAAAGATGCGGGGTTCAAAGTGGCCTTGGAGAAAAGCGAGTTCTTCTTGTCGGAGATCTCATTCTTGGGGTACATCGTCACAGTTTATGGACTAAACCCGGATCCGAGGAAGGTGGCAGCAGTTCAAGAAGCCCCGGCGCCGGTCACACTCACCCAGGTTCGGGCTTTTCTAGGGCTGACATCCTATTACCGACGCTTCATCAAGGGGTTCGCCGGTATAGCGAAGCCCCTCACGAACCTGCTGAAGAAAGAGGAACAACTGATCTGGACGCCGGAATGCGAAGCGACGTTTCAGGCGTTGAAGGAGGCTCTGACATCTGCTCCTGTGTTGGCGCGCCCCGACCCGACAAGACGGTTCGCACTGTACACAGACTGGCAGCCTCAGGCGATATCGGCGGTGCTGACTCAGCACGGGGCGGACGGCAGGGAACACGTCATTGAGTATGCGTCCAAGACGCTGAGCCAGGTGCAGGCTAATTACGAAGCGTGCAAAGGTGAATGTTTGGCGGTGGTGTGGGGGATCCTGCATTTCCGACCGTATCTTTACGGCCAGAAATTCCTGCTGGTAACGGATCATCAGCCGGTGCTATCCCTACGCAACAACATGGACTTCACGGGGACGCTGGGCAGGTGGGCGGTGCGTCTGCAAGACTATGACTTCGACATCCGCCACTGTGCCACGCGACAGCATGGTAACGCCGATGGATTAACACGCCTCCTGCCGCCCAACAAGTGTCCCGCCAACGAGCGACTCATTCCGTGGAGGCCAGAAGTCGAGACGACGAAACCGCACTACGGAGAGCTACACGTGCTGCGCAAGAACGACGCCTGAGTCCGGAATGGAGGTTTCGCTGGAGATGGCAGACGCGATCTCTTTGCCCTCATCCAACTCCCTCGCTCTCTCGTCTAGTCCCTACTCGTCCCCTGAAATGCATCTAAGTCCCTGTTTCTTCTGTACTTTGCCTATGGTCCCGGACCAAGAAGGGTCACATCCGGGAGGGCCCAGTTTTCTTTTATGGGTACAGTGTAGTCGGTGTCATACGGTCAAATCTCACGGACAGTGCGTTAGGTACCGAAGTGAAAAGACATGGGTCTGTCCCAACTGTAGAACGGACCAAGTCCCTACCGAGAAGCGGTATCTGGACGCCAGAACAGCCGACGGATTTGCGCCAAGTGCCCGTCGGGCAGAAGCCTGGACGGACCTTATGTTGCTACGGAGGCTGTCAGGCGACTCGCTGTCAGAACTTACTAAAGCTGAGAGGCGGAGAGTTACAGAGTGGGTGCAGGACTATCATTGGCAGGGACCGATGTTACAAAAACGAAAAGTCGATGATGACGGAGGGTCTAGCTGGTTGACGGTTCCACACCCTCTCGCTAGGTTCGATTGGACACGAGCCGCTCATGAAGAGGATGCAGTCCATTTCGCGGTCAAGTACACGGAAAAAGCCATAGAAAAGAACGGATGGTACTGGTCGGGAATCCGGGAAGATGTGAAATATATCGTTCAAAATTGCCCGGCCTGCACGGCGGACAAGGCGCCGATACAGATGCCTCGGACGATGGTGCCCACTCGTGTAAAGTGCCCCTTTCAGAGGGTTAGCATCGATATGACGGATATCAACGTTCCGAGAGGTCCCGTCGATCAGGGAGAACTCAATGTTCTTTTAGTAGCCGTCGATCATTTTTCAAAATGGATCGAGGCGTACCCTATGACCAACCGGAATTCGCAGGAGGTAGCCTGGTACGTAAATCGATTTTTGTGCATGCATCTAGAAGTGGAAGAGGTACATATGGACAATGGGTCGGAATTTCAAGGCGAAGTGGAACGTCACCTAGTCAGGGCGGACGTTAAGATTATCTACTCGTCGGGCCATTGGCCTCAAGCCAATGGCCTGGTAGAGAATGCCAACCGACGGATTAAGACCGCCCTTAGACGGAATATCACTGCGGGAGACACCCGACCCTGGCCGGTCATTGTCGACCACATCTTGGCCGTTTATCGGGCTACCCCACATGGTAGTACTGGGGTGTCCCCCTTTCAACTGAGAACCAATAGTGTCCCTCGGGTGCAATTGTCCCCCTTAGTAGGTACGGAAGTTAGAGCAACACGGGCCCAGAACCGAGATAAGGCCCGCCACTACATGGACTTAATGGCTAGGGCCT